CAATTAGAAAAGAAATTTTAAAATATATGGAAACAAATGAAAATGAAAACACAACAATCCTAACTCTTCAGGATGAAGCAAAGGCAGTCCTAAAAGGAAAATACATTGCAATCCAGGCCTATTTCAAGAAATTAGAAAAAGCGGAAATACAAAATCTAACAGCGCCCCTAAAGGAACTAGAAGCAGAGCAGCAAAACACCACAAATCCAGCAGAAAAAGAGAAATAATAAAAATCAGTGCAGAAATAATATAGAATCCAAAAGAAGTTGAACAGATAAATGAAACCAAGAGTTGGTTTTTTTGAAAAAATAAACAAAGTTGACAAACCTCTCATCAGGCTTCTCAAAAAGAAAAGAGAGGTCACCCAAATATACAAGATCATGAATGAAAATGGATTTATTACAGCCAATCCCTCAGAAATACAAGCAATTATCAGGGAATAGTATGAAAAATTATATGCCAACAAACTGGAAAACCTAGAAGAAATGGACTAATTCCTAAACACACACACTACCAAAATTCAAACAGGAAGAGATAGAAAATCTGAACAGACCCATAACTAATAAAGAAGTTGAATCAGTTATCAAAAATCTCCCAACGAATAAGAGCCTTGGGCCAGATGGCTTCCCTGGGGAATTCTACCAGACACTTAAATCAGAGTTAATACCCATTCTTCTCCAACTATTCCAAAAAATAGAAATGGAAGGAAAACTTCTGGACTCATTCTACGAAGCCAGCATCACTTTAATTCCCAAACCAGACAGAGACCCAGCAAAAAAGAGAACTATAGGCCAATATCTCTGATGAATACGGATGCAAAAATCCTCAACAAGCTACTAGCAAATTGAATTCAACAGCATATAAAAAGAATTATACACCATGATCAAGTGGAGTTCATTCCTGGATTACAGGGCTGGTTCAATATTAGCAAATGAATCAATGTGATACATCTCATTAACAAAAGAAATGATTAAAAGCATATGATCTTGTTAATAGATGCATAAAAAGCATTTGACAAAATCCAACATCCTTTCTTAATAAAAACCCTCGAGAAAGTCGGGATAGAAGGAACTTACTTAAACATAAAAGCCATTTATGAAAAGCCCAGTTATGTCCTTTATGAAAAGGACAGTTAATATCATCCTCAGTGGGGAAAAACTGAGAGCTTTCCCCCTGAAATCAGGAACACGACAGGGATATCCAGTCTCACCACTGTTGTTTCACGTAGTGCTGGAAGTCCTAGCATCAGCAGTCAGACAACAAAAGGAAATAAAAGGCATCGGAATTGGCAAAGATGAAGTCAAACATTCACTTTTTGTAGATGACATGTGACTCTACCTGGAAAACCCCACAAACTCCACCAGAAGCCTACTAGAATTGATCCATGAATTCAGCAAAGTCGCGGGGTACAAAATCAACGTACAGAAATCGGTTGCATTTTTATACACCAGTAATGAAGCAACAGAAAGAGAAATCAAGAAGCTGATCCCATTCACAATTGCATATTGTGAATTGCACAAAAACATAAGATACCTAGGAATAAGCCTAAGCAAAGATATGAGAGATCTGTATGAAAACTATAGAAAACTTATGAAGCAAATTGAAGAAGACACAAAGAAATGGAAAAACATTTTTTTTTTACAAATAGTTTATTGTCAAATTAGTTTCTGCATAACACTCAGTGCTCATCCCCACAAGTTCATCCCCCTCATTCCTCCTCCATGCCCATCCCCCCCTCCCCCCACATCCATCAGTCCTCAGTTTTTGTCAGCATTCAAGAGTCTCTCATGGTTTGCCTCTCTCCCAAGAAATGGAAAAACATTCTATTCTCATGGATCGGAAGAATAAATATTGTTAAAATGTCATTACTACCGAAAGCAATCTACACATTCAATACAGTTCCAATCAAAATTGCACCAGCATTATTTCCAAAGCTAGAACAAACAATCTTACAATTTGTATGGAACCACAAAAGACTGAAAATAGCCAAAGTAATATTGAAGAAGAAAGCCAAAACAGGAGGCATCACAATCCCAGGCTTCAGCCTCTACTACAAAGCTGTCATCATCAAGACAGTATGGTATTGGCACAAAACCAGACACATAGACCGATGGAACAGAATAGAGAACCCAGAATTGGGTGCACAAATGTATAGTCAATTAATCTTTGACAAAGCGGGAAAGAGTACAGTGGAAAAAAGACAGCCTCTTTAATAGATGGTGCTGGGAGAACTGGACAGCAACATATAGAAGAATGAAACTAGACCACTTTCTTAAACCACATACAAAAATAAACTCAAAATGGATAAAGGACCTGGATGTGAGACAGGAAACCATCAAAACCCTAGAGGAGAAAGTAGGAATCAATCTTCTTGACCTCAGCCTGAGCAATTTCTTACTTGGCACATCTCCAAAGGCAAGGGAAGCCAGAGCAAAAAGGAACTATTGGGACCTCATCAAGATAAAAAGCTTCTGCACGGCAAGGGAAACAATCAATAAAACTGATAAGCAACCAATGGAATGGGAAAAGATAGTTGCAAATGACATATCAGATAAAGGGCTAGTATCCAAAATCTATAAGCAACTCAACAAACTCTACACCTGAAAAACAATCAATCCAGTGAAGACATGGGCAGAAGACATGAACAGACACTTCTCTAAAGAGGACATCCATTGGCCAGCAGACACATGAAACGATGCTCAACATCACTCATCATCAGGGAAATACAAATCAAAACCACATTGAAATATCACCTCATGCCAGTCAGTTACTAAAATGAACAAATCAGGAGACTATAGATGCTGGCGTGGCTGTGGAGAAATGGGCACCCTCCTACACTGTTGGTGGGAATGCAAACTGGTGCAGCCCCTCTGGAAAACAGTGTGGAGGTTCCTCAAAAAATTAACACTAGAACTCCCCTATGACCCAGCAATAGCACTGCTAGGAATTTACCCAAGGTATACAGGAGTGCTGATGCATAGGGGCACATGGACCCCAATGTTCATAGCAGCACTCTCAACAATAGCCAAAACATGGAAAGAGCCTAGAGTGTCCATCAACTGACGAATGGATCAAGAAAATGTAGTTTATCTATACAATGGTATACTATATGGCAATGAGAAAGAATGAAACCTGGCCATGTGTAGCAACATGGATGGAACTTGAGGGTGTTATGTTGAGTGAAATAAGTCAGGCAGAGAAAGATAGATACCATATGTTTTCACTCATGTGGAATAGGAGAAACTTAACAGAAGACCATGGGGGTGGGGAAGGGGAAGAAAATAGTTGAGAGGGAGGAGGCAAAACATAAGAGACTCTTAAATATAGAGAACAAGCTAAGGGTTGATAGGGGGTGGGGGAAAGAGCGAAATGGGTGCTAGGCATGGAGGAGGGCACTTGTTGGGATGAGCAGTGAGTGTTATATGGAAACCAACTTGACAATAAACTATAAAAAAAATAAAGTGAGAGTACGTTCTTGAGATGTGAGAGGGGGTGAGCTCAAGGGAGAGCTGCGCACTCCAGTTTTGGGTCACTATCTTTTACTGACAGTTGTTAACTAGGGGATGGAATATTAAGTACTTGGGGAGGAGATTTCTTGGGAGCAGGGTTTCGCACATTTATACCCTTACCTGGTTAGGGTTTCCAGCCTTCTCTGTCTTGGGCCTGTCTGGTTTGATCCAGCTTCTTGTAGCTTTGTTTTGCAGTGCTCTCTAACTGCCCCCCACCCCACAGCCAGCCATAATTCCCCTTTTGCTGGCCTCCAGGCATTTTGTTAAAGCCCAGTTGTGTACTCTAATACCTACCTTAAAAAGAGTCTCCTTTATACTGTTGAAAATTCCACTGTTAGAAATTTCTTTGGGTTTTCGAGGTTTTGAGACTTTTCAAGTGTTCAAGAGTCCTCATTAAAAGAATTTGTATACCTGTTCTCTTAGAGGGAATTGGTTGACAGGTCAGAAGTCTGAAGGGATGGAAGAATCATTTTTGGAGATGTAGGAGTAGGGTTGTGGTATGGGAGAGTGGAAGTAAGGACAGTCTGGAAACTGGAATCATAAGTAAACATTTAATAATCCACAATTATCCAAAGCAGGCACCATCCTGTTCCTTGTAAAGACTATAGAATTACATTTTACTGTCTCAAGAATTGTTTTCTGAAAGTTTTTTTCCTCCCTTATACTGATGGGAGGAATGTTATAGAGCTGGCATGTTTTTCTGGGGTTTTTCAATAGGTTTTAAATAAAATCTTCTGTCCTAGTCTCAGGCAAGTTTTCTAATTTGTATGGAAAATATGGTGACCATACTTATAAAAATTGAGGTAGTTGATCAATAAAAGTCAAGAATACTTTTTAAAAATCGAGTGATCTTATCAACCAAAGCCAGAAATTTAAAAAATGTTGATACTTACTTCATTCGTCACAGTGAAAATGTAGAAATTTATACTTAAAAAAATTAATCTATTTTTTTAATTTTTAAAAATTTATTCTCAAGTTAGTTAACATACAGTATGGTCTTGGCTTCAGGAGTAGAACCCAATGATTCATCACTTATAACACCCAGTACTCATCCCAGCAGGTGACAGACACATAGACCAATGGAACAGAATAGAGAACTCAGAATTGGACCCACAAATGTATGGTCAACTAAATGACATCTTCTTGATCCAGTCGTCAGTTGATGGACATTTCAGCTCTTTCCATGATTTGGCTATTGCTGAAAGGGCTGCTTTGAACATTGGGCTACATGTGCCCCTATTCATCAGCACTCCTGTATCTCTTGAGTAAATTCCTAACAGTTAAAGAAAGATTATATTCTATATATTGGTTAATGATTAGTAATCTAACACACTAAAAAGAAAAAAAAAACTTAACCATGAAGAAGTGATAGTATGTAATTTTTTTCTCAGCACTATAATAAGTATGGGTGTCTTAGCTGAATAGAAGTACTTTTCAAACCTATACTTGTTTGGAAAGTCTTGGTAAAGTAAGTGACAAAAATTACAAAGGCTCTCAAAGAACCATATTTATCCTTGAATGAGTTGTCTCAACAGATTTTCTTGTGTAATCTCCATACTGGACTGAGATATGTTTGCGTATGGATAGATCTAGTATCCTCTGGCTCCTCCTCCCTCATTCTTCTTCTTCTTTAGTTTCCGGTGTTTGACTCTCTTAGCTGGAGGATGACAGGTCACCTGATTCAGGTACTTGGTCATCATTGATGTTGCAGCCGCCAGCCGGCAGAGTATTTGATCAATGTCATACATGCAATGATCTTCTAGATTTTTACCAAATGTTTCTGAGGGGGGTGGTTTCTTCAGCTAAAGGAAGAAAGACAGATAATATTATAGATTATTTTCTTAGTGTAGTTCAAATTATGTTTGTTTTCTGGATAGATACACTTAAACCCCAAATACTATACATTATTTATCTATACAATAGAAAGGTTACTATAGAAAAAAGGAATAAGTGCAGAAGAAATGCTCTTTTCTGTTTGCTCCCACATTAGATTATAGCGATCATTATCACAATCAGCAAGCATTTAATATGAGCTTTTTATGGTTAGAGCATTCTGCTGAAAGAATGCTATTATATGAATATCTGCAAAATATTTTCTTTTATTGAACAGTCTCAATGTATAATCCAATCAAATCATAGCCATTTTATAAATATCTAATAGTTGTGAAGGTCAGTTGGCCTCAAAATTTGAAAATTGCCTCAAAATATGGTACTATTGGCAAAGTGGAAAATCGGTTTAAGAGTGCCATTTCCCAGCAAGTTATCTTAACATTAGAAATAGGTTTATGGTCGATATAAAAAAGGGAAAAAAATACATGTGCACTTTTACAGACTTAGCTTTCTTAGATAGATCTGGAAAGGACTTAACAGATCTCTTATCCAGATGCTTTATCTTATGGATGAGGCAGCTGAGAAAGAGCAAATGACTTACCTATGGGCCCAGTTTCATTTCCTGTCCATTCTACTCATTTCATTTCCTATCCATTCTCATTTCATTTACTATCCATTCTAGCTCACCACTTTCTTGATGTATTTTGTAACTTGAAAGAGAGAGATTGAACTACAGTATTTTAAGGACTTTCTAATTCAGTACACTTTTGTCCAGCCCCTAGTACATGCAAGACATTGTGTTACATGTTGTGGGGTGAGAAGTGGGGGCAGGGTGATGTTACAGAGAGAATAGACATTGTACTTTCCTTCAAAGAAGCTGATAATCTTATGTTTTAAAGGCTTTGACATTTTATAACTATTATTATTTTCATCACTAATTCACCTGTTTTTGGTGTTTTTTCCATTTCATCCACAGGTAATGCACAGATAAAACAGACAGGATTAAAAAGAGAGCTTGTGCTAAAATATAAATGAAGTGAAAGGAAGTCTGCAGTATATTCACATTAGCAAAATTGCAGCATAGCTTGTCCAGAGGGTAAGGTAGACAGTGAGATGGAGAAGGTTTAAGTTTCAGATAATGCATTTCTTCTGGAAAAATCTCCCATCCAACCTTTGTCCAGGTAGTTCCATCACAAATGCAGAAGCTCTCCCTAAGGAAGCAGATAAACAACAGAGAAAAAGACAGGGATAGACCTTGAATGGACATCTTTCTCAATCGGGTGGGGGAAAAAATCTATAGCCAAAAATTGGTCACAGAGTAGAATTGCTCTGAGGAGAGGTTAATATGGTGCTCCACTCAAAGCATTAAGATTCTAGTCTGCACAGTATACACTGATGATCATTATAACATCATCAGTCATAGTGACTCAGGGATAAATTCAGTGATGTCATAAAGAACCCACACTGGAACTAAAAGATGTCACCTAGCCAATTACTGGGTTTCTTTCTTTCTTTCTCTCTCTTTCTTTCTTTCTTTCTTTCTTTCTTTCTTTCTTTCTTTCTTTCTTCTTTTTTATAAGACTCTGTTTTTAAGTAATCTCTACACCCAATGTGGAGCTCAAACTCAGAATCCTGAGATGAAGAATTAGTTGTGTGCTCCACTGACTGAGCCAGCCAGGGGTCCCTACTGGGTTTCTTAGGGATATTTTTTCTTGCTTTTTGCCGGAATGTTTTGAACTTCTTCAACTTTTCTGAAACATGAAGACTTTACTAATATTTTGCTTGCTAACAAATTCTATTTATTGCTATTAGTCATATTAATAGATTTTCATGGAAATAATTTACCTATATCCTCCAAGCCTTCTTTTAGTATGACAGTTTTATATCTACTTTAAAAGTTGCTATAGCCATATCATTTCACACAATTTAGCATCTGCTTCTTTTTTTCCCACTCTGGAATGCCCTTCCCTTCACACAGCTAAGCAAATATTAAGTCCCTCTCCTGTTTAAACCATGTCCCTTTGGTGGCAATGTGGTACTGTCAGATAGTGGGTTGGGGATGGGGAATTTAGCATGGCATATGATAAAGAGATGAGACACAGACCCTGCCTTTGAAGAACTTACAATCTAGGGGTAGACGCCAAAACTAAGATAGTAAAAATGATAAGACACACTGAAATGAGAGCTACTTCAAATTATAATCACGTAATCGTTGAGAGAGCAATGGGTTATACTTGGGGGAATCAGAAGTTTCACAGAAGAATATTTGAGTAAGCTTTGAAGAACGAGTAGAATTTTGATAGATGACAATGAAGAAGGGCATCTTAGATTGAGGAAACATAATAAGGGAATTCTATGTCAACATTCATATAACAAATATTTATTGAGTACCTTATATGCTAAGTGCTGTTTTAGGACCTGAGAATATATACGCAGCTTGGCACAAAACATAATTTGTGTTCATTAAGTTTACCTTCTAATAAGGAGACCCAGAAAATATATCTGTCTATATGTATCTGTGGAGTGCCACTGAGAAAAGTAGAGTGGTAAAGGGGTTTTGAAGTTGCCAGCAAGTGAATGAGTGACTGTATTCCTTTATAGGGGGCCATCAGGAAAGGCCTCTTGATAAGCTAATGTCTGAGCAAAGACCTGAGCCATGTTGACATCTGGGGATGTGACTCTGTAAACAATGGATAGGTTCTCTGGATGAATGTTAGAGGGGATAAAACTGGAAAGGTAGTTTGTGACTAGATCAATGTTGGAGGGCCCTGTATCCTATTCAGCAGTCAGTAGGGAGTCCTTTATAGAATTTTGAGGAGAGGAGTGACCTAAAAATAGCTTACTGTGTTCCAGGCACTGTGCCAAGATACTTCCATGTGCTATGCTAGATTTTGTTTAGTCGTTATGATAATCCCCTGAGGACTGTACCCTAATACTTCCATGAAGCATAGAGGGGTTATGGTATTACTGTGGTCTGATTGTCTATGTCCTCCTCCACCTCCAATTCATATGTTGAATACTAATGCCCAGCGTGATTGTATTAGGAGGTAGGGCCTTTGGGAGGTGCTTAGGACACGAGGGTGGACCCTTCATGAATAAGATTAGTGTCCTTATCAGAGTTCCCACAGAGTTCCCTAGGCCCTTCCCATGTGAAGACATAGTGAGAAGGTGCCAGCTATGAAGGAAGAGGGCTCTCATCAGACTGCAAACCATGTTGGTGGCTTGATTTTGGATTTCTTGGTCTCCAGAACTGTGAGGAATGAATTTCTGTTTTTATAATCTACCCAATCTGTGATATTTTTCTATAACAGGCTGCATTCACTACATAAGTATGGTGGCATTAAGAGGATACTTGCGATAAATTCCTTTCTCTAGCAAGCCACCAAAATACACGTGTGCTTTCAGTAAAATCAACACGCTTATTGTAGAAATGCAGTTTCACAACAAGTCCTTCAATCCCACCTTCCAACTAATGCCTCTCCTAAGCTCCATCCTCTATGGGAATTCTGGAACCACCACTGACTCCAGATTACCAATTAGTGGAGCCAAAATCTAAACCTTAGATTCCAGTTTAGGGAATTAATTTTGCTTGCAATGTGAATGATGAATTTGAATCTCTGAGGTGCTGGAAGCAAGAATGCCAGTTAACTGATCCCTATATATGAATACTGTTCCAGATATAGGTCTGAATTTAACTTCTTTTATTATATTCACTTTATAGATAGATGAATGAGGCTGAGAAGATTGTTAGGTATTACAGATGACACAGTTGAGCATTACAGTGAGTTATTTGTAAGTTTTTAATTTCAATTCCAGTTAATTAACATACAGTGTAATATTAGTTTCAGGTGTACAATTTAGTGATCCAACACTTCTATACATTACCCAGTGCTCATAACAAGTGCACTCCTCATTCCCCATCACCTATTTCACCTGTCCCCCACCCCCACCCCTCTGGTAACCATCAGTTTGTTCTCTATAGTTAAGACTGTTTCTTTTTTTATGTTTATTTTTATTTTTTACTTTTGAAAGAGAGAGAGCGAGAGAGAGAGTGAGAGTGGGAGTGCATGCGGGGGAAGGGCAGAGAGAGAGAGAGAGGGAGACACAGAATCTGAAGCAGGCTCCAGGTGGATGCAAACTCCTGAACTGCAAGATCATGACCTGAGCCGAAGTTGACTGCTTAAATGACTGAGCCACCCAAGTGTTCCAAGATTCTGTTTCTTGGTGTGTTTCTTTTTTTCTCCTTTGCTCCTTTGTTTTGTTTCTTAAATTCCACATATGAGTGAAATCATTTGGTATTTGTCTTTCTCTGACTGACTTATTTTGCTTAGCATAATACTCTCTAGCCCCATCCATGTCTTTGCAAATGGCAAGATTTCATTCTTTTTTATGGCTGAGTAATATTCCATTGTCACACTCACACACACACACCACCACCACCACCACCACCACCACCATCTTTATCCATTTGTCAGTGGATGGACACTTGGGCTGTTACCACATTGTAGATAATGCTGCTATAAATCTTGGGATGCATGTATATCTTTGGATTGGTAGCTTTGAATTCTTTGGGTAAATACCTAACAGTGCAATTGCTGGATCCTGGGTAGTTCTATTTTTGACTTTTTTTTTTTTTTTTGACACTGTTTTCCAGAGGGGCTGCACCAGTTTACATTCCCACCAACAGTGTAGGAGGGTGCCCGTTTCTCCACATTCTCGCCAGCATCTAGAGTTCTCTGATTTGCTCATTTTAGCCACGCTGGCTGGTGTGAAGTGGTATCTCAGTGTGGTTTTGATTTGTATTTCCCTGATGATGAGGGATGCTGAGCATCGTTTCATGTGTCTGTTGGCCATCTGGATGTCCTAAGTTCTGTGTATTTTAGATACTAACACTTTATCAGATATTTGCAAATATTGCCTCCATTCTTTAGTTTGCCTTTTAGTTTTGTTGATTGTTTCCTTTCCTGTGCATAAGACTTTTGTTTTGATGAAATCCCAATAGTTTATTTATTTATTTATTTAGTCCAATATTTTATTTTTGCTTTTGTTTCCCTTGCCCACAGAGACATATCTAGAAAGAAATTAGTGTGGCTGGTGTCAAAGAGGTTACTACCTCTGTTCTTTAGGATTTTAATGGCTTTAAGTTTCTCATTTAAGTCTTCCATCCATTTTGAATTTATTTTTGTGTAGGATGTAAGAAAGTGGTTCAGTTTTATTCTTTCACATGTTGCTGTCCAGTTTCCCCACACTATTTGTTGAAGAGACTGTCTTTTTCCCACTGGATATTCTTTCCTGCTTTTTCGAAGGTTAATTGACCACATAGTCGTAGGTTGATTTCTGGGTTTTCTATTCTGTGTCTATTTTTGTGCCAGTATCATAGTGTTTTGAATCACTAAAGTTTTTTGATATAACTTGAAGTCCAGAATTGTGATGCTCCAGCTTTGCTTTTCTTTGCTGGCTTGTGGTAGTATAGACATTTTAACAATATTTGTTCTTTGAATCCTTGAGCATGGAATGTCTTTTCACCTCTTTGGTTAGGTTTATTCATAGGAATATTATGGGTTTTGCTGCAGTTGTAAATAGGATTGATTTCTTAATTTGTCTTTCTGCTGCTTCATTATTGGTGTATAGAAATGCAACAAATTTCTGTGCGCTGATTTTGTATCCTGTGAATTTACTGAATTTGTGAATCAGTTCTAGCAATTTTTTGTTTTCTTTATACAGTACCATGTCATCTGCAAATAGTGAAAGTTTGACTTCTTCCTTGCCAATTTGAATGCTTTTTATTTCTTTGTATTTGACTGTTTGGATAGGACTTCCAGTACTATGTTAAATAACAGTGGCCAAAGTGGACATCCCTGTCTTGTTCCTGACTATAGAGGAAAAGCTCTCAGTTTTCCCCATTGAAGATGATATTAGCTGTGAATTTTTCATTTATGGCTTTTATTATGTTGAGTTATGTTCCCTTTAACTCTACTTTTGAGCGTTTTTTATCATGAATGGATGTTTTACTTTGTCAAACGCTTTTTCTGCATCTATTGAAACAGCAGTCATATGGTTCTTTTCTCTTAATAATGTGTATCACATTGATTGATTTACAAATATTGAACCACTCTTGCAGCTAAGAAATAAATCCCACTTGATCCTGGTGAATGATTCTTTTAATGTATTTTGGATTCCATTTGCTAGTTCTATTGAGAATTTTTGTGTCCATGTTCATCAGGGGTATTGACCTGTTGTTCTCTTTTGTAGTGGAGACTTTATCTGGTTTTGGTATCAGGGTAATGCTGGCCTCATAGAATGAATTTGGAAGTTTTCCTTCCATTTCTATTTCTTTGGAATACTTTGAGAAGAATAGGCATTAACTCTTCTTGAAATGTTTGGTTGAATTCTCCT